AGTCTCTCAACCTGTATTGAATAGTACAAGAGGTACTTATAATTCTAATCTGTTAACTTCAAGGAGGATTTAAATTATCATCTCTCTATACTGTAAGTCTTAAAAAGGTGAACAATTCTAAAAACCAGATAAAAGGCTAAAGCAAAATCATTTTTAGTCTAATGTGTAAATTTCAATCATTTATATTGACTGAGAAAATGACCTCACGGATGTAATGGAAAGATAGTGTTTTTTTTTACCATCTATTTTTCCTTTTTACCATCTCCTATTTCACCAGGACACTAAGTTTCCTTTTATCTCAAAGACTTTGTAATTATTGCCCCTACCTAGAACATACTTCTCTGTGTTAGGCATCTGCATGGCAATGCATCTTTATGCACTTGGCTATTGACTGGCTCTGCCACCATGCTACAATCCACAGGAGCAGGAACTCTTCTGTCTTGGCTGCTACTGTATTAAGGCGCCAAGAACAGTGCCTGACACACAGTAGGTGCTATCCTTTAGCTATGATTTGAGTGTATTCCCAGGGTTCACGTGTTGACATTTAATACTCACTTTGAGCTATTAAGAGAGTAAAGATTTAATCCAACCATGGCATTTAGAAATGATGCCTTTGGGAGATGATTAGAATTAGATATGATCATCAGGGCTGACCCTGGTGACTGAATACTGAGAATTTTGTAAGAGGGAGACAGGCCAGACAACAAAACAGACACACAGCCCCATGCGTCTTGCTGTGTGATTCCCAGAGGCACAATGGAACTTGGCTAGCAAGAACCCTCATAGGGTTTCACTCCCTAACCAAGGATCTCCAGAATCATAAGCCAAAATAAATCTCTATAACTTACTGAGACTGTGGTACTGTGTTATTGACAACAGAAAATATTTTGATACAGTAAATAATAACTACTTTCTAGGAAATAATAGAAACAAAATCAATGGCATGACCATGAAGTATTCAGCTATCCTTATGTGTTGAATTCTTTTAGAGGTCCATTATTTTCTGCAAGGTTTCGTTTTAAAATTTGCCTTAATTTTCTTTTCTCGTGGGAAGGAAAGGGTGCAGAGCTATTTGTAAAGGTGACGCCCAGAGTCTGCATAAACTGGTGCTTCCCATTCCATTGGAAAAGGCTTTCTTGAAAATCATGGCTCTGATTCATTCCTTCCAAATTCATCTTGCTCAACCTGTTCTGCAGGCACTATGTGTGTGAGAATTCAGAGAAAATGGACTCACTTATCTACACAGTATCTCAATTTCAGGGTTTCCGTGGGTTATGTCTTCATTCTTTTGTTGTCTCCCTCTCTCTATCAATATTCCTTTCACATAAAAATTTTAAAAATAAAAATTAAAACTTGTCTGAGATCACTCAGATCATTAGTAGCAGAGTGCACAACCTGGTTCTGATTCCAGTTTATGTAGGATGGATCCAGGTTACAAACAGCTGAGATATTGCCTATCCTCATAGTAAACCCATTATCACCAGCTTTCTTTCCCAGAAGTTGTAGAAATCCATGCTACAGGGGAATTATGCAACAGTCTTCCTTAGTTGATAACTCCCACTTGGTATCTAGAACAAGACAGAGTCCCAATAGGTCCTCACGCAAGCACCATCTCCAGTTCCCTCTGCTCATAACTAGCTTGTTAGTTCACTCTCAGGGTCACTACCACAAGACAAAGATGTTGTTGGAGAAGCAAATCAGATTCTTTTGCACTGTCTGCTTCAGTTTTAAGGAATAATAGAGAGATCCTATAAACTCTTTGTCTACCATTTTTTCCTAAGGGCCAAACACGGCTTGCGAAACCACAACACAATACTAGAACTGTGACGCTATGATATTGTCATTGGCACAATCGAGATAGAGTAGTTACATCACCACAAACATCTGCTTGTTTCTACTTCCCTCACTTATATCCCTCCTTCCTGGCAACCAACTACTTTTTCTTTATTTTTAAAATTTTACCTCCATTTCTGTAAGTTGAAGATTACATGCATATGAACCATCTTATCTTCTGAGATCAGTTCCTTTCACTAGTCATTCTTTTCTAAAGATTTTCTCAGAGAGTAATTTAGCCAGAGATATCTCATGCATCCATGGTTGATTTTAGTTTATTGCTGAATAGCAGTGCAAATTCTCATCATTATTTGTTATTTTACTTTTTAAAATTACCATCAGAGGTATATCAGTGGGTATGAAGTAGTATGTCATTGTGACTTTGGCTTACAATTCCCTGATGACTGATAATGTTCAGCATCTTTTCATGTGCTTGTTGATCATTTGTGTATCTTCTTTGAAGAAATGTCTGCTTAAGCCTTTTGCTCATTTTTTAAATTGGGCTATTGTCTTACAAGAGTTTTTGAGTTTTTTTTTACTTTCTTGATGATAAGGCTTATGGTAATATAGTATTTATGAAATGCATCTTGCATTTTTTTTAACTTTGTGGTTATGATGTAACGTCTAAGAATCTATGGCAAGATTCAATGTCTCATAGATTTAGTATTATATTTTTTACTAATAGTTTATAGTTTTAGCTGTTGTATTTATATATTTGCACCATTTTGAGATAATTTTTATGTGTTGTGATGCAAGTTTTTTTTACATATATAACAAATTGTCTCAATATCATTTGCTCAAAAGACTATGCATCAAATAGTATTGACACCCTGTCAAAAATGAGTCGACCATGATGTAAAGTCTTGTTTCTCTACTTCCACTTCTATTTTATTTTCTCATATGCTTATTTTATGCCAGTATCACTCTGCTTTAGGTTATTACTGAGTTGTAGTAAGTTTTAAAATTTGGAAAAGTGAGTTCTTAAATTTTTTCTTAATATTTATTTTATTATTTTATTGGAAAGTCAGATATACAGAGAGGAGGAGAGACAGAGAGGAAGATCTTCCATCCATTGATTCACTCCCCAAGTGGCTGCAATGCCCTGAGCTGAACCAATCTGAAGCCAGGAGCCTGTATCCTCCTCTAGGTCTCCCACGCAGGTGCAGGATCCCAAGGTGTTGGGCTGTCCTTGACTGCCTTCCCAGGCCACAAGCAGAGAGCTGGGTGAGAAGTGGGGCCACCTGGATCAGAACCAGTACTCACATGGGATCCCAGTGAATGCAAGGTGAAGACTTTAGCCACTAGGCTATCACACCGGGCCTGAATTCTTAAATTTTTAAAAATTATTTGATAACTCAAGAACTTATATAATTTTATAGGAATTTCAGTATCAGCATATCCATTTCTGTGAAAAATGCCACTTTTGGTATGCTAGTCTTATCTTACTTTGTTAAATTCATACTAAAATGTATTGTACTGTTTGTTGATGGTGTGATCTTTTTTAGCTTTTATTTTTAAAATATTCAGTATTGCTATGTAAATACGCAGTGATCATGTTTTTTGATTTTTTAATTGATTCATGTCCAAATTCCTTATATATACATATGTGCTTAATAGTAGTGTATATGCATATATCGTTGGCAATGTGTGATACATATGTAAAGTTTTATAATGATTAGGTAGTTATAATCTTTAGTAACACCCCATTAAATCAAGGACATTTACAATGTCTTTTAGTTTTGAATCTTTTCCATTTTATTTTTCTGTATTTCAGTTTTGCCTTTAAAATGCTCTAAATTACTCATAAAATTATTACCAGTATTACATATAATTAACATTTCTCTAAACAAAATGCTTTTCTACATAATATACGTTCTTGAATAATTGGTTCTTTCTGAATTCTTTTATTCTCCCTAAAATAGATTTTCTTTAAATCAAAGTGTCCTCCATGGCTTACACGGAGCAGTGGACAGCATAACCAGATGCACAAGGAGGATATGGCAGTACATTGGCGTCTGCAGAGGATACCTGGTACCACAACAGAGGATGGAGGACAGAAAAATCGATCAACTACCCCAGCCAAGTGTTGGCAGTGAATATCTGGGTAAACAGAGACTGCAGAGTGGACTATGTCAATCAGATTTATTTATTTTATGTATTTGTAAAGCAAAATGACACAGTGAGAGAGGATTTCCTTTCTATGGTTCGCTAACCAAATGGTTGCAGTTATCAAACTTGGGCCAAGCAACACCAGGAGCCAGGAACTCCATTCTGTGTTCCCACATCAGTGGCAGAGCTCTGAGCACTTGAACCATCTTCTACCACCTTCCCTGGAGCATTAGCAGGGAGCTGAATTGCAAACAGAACAGCTGGGACTTGAACAAGTGCCCTGATACAGAATGCTTGCATCACAAGTGGAAGTTTACCCCTACCACATCACAGTTCAGTCCCCCAAATTTATTCATTTTATTTGAAAGGCAGAGTGACATAGTCCAGCACTGCGGTGCAGAGGATTAAGCTGCCCCCTGTAATGCTAGCATCCTACCAGTCCCAGCTGCTCCACTTTCAATCCGGTTTTCTGTTAGTGTGTTCAGGATGGTCCAAGTGTTTGGACCTTTGTGACCACATAGAAGAATAGGAAAAGCTCCTGAGTTCTGGCTTCAACCTGGCCCAGACATGGCTGTTACACCATTTAGGGAGTGAATAAGTAAAAGGAAGAGATTTATCTCTCTCTCCCTCTCTCTCTCACACACACACGTGCACACACGTGCACAAACACACAATTGTCTCTCTGATTTTGTCTTTCCCATTCTATCTTTAAAATTAGTAGAAACTGGAAACTGGAGGTCAGCACAGTGTCATAGCACGCTAATCTTCTGCCTGCCACAGTCCATCCCCTATAGTGTGGAAAATGAGAAACTTTCAGAGAACTGACTCATCCAGGTCAAGTCAAATAAAACATCTTAACTCAGATGATGAAGAGCTTGTTCAGATTAACAGGGCAGTCATTTAATGTCCAATGGGCCATAAATGCACAAGCAACTAATGCTCCCAGTTTTATGACATTGAGGATTTTTGTTCATACTGAAACACATTTGCAGCAACATATAACTAATAACACACAAACACACACAAAAATTCTTGCTGGGGGAAATATATCTTGTCTCTTTTTCTCAATGAATTATTTCACTTAGCTCTTTAATGAGTCAGAAATAGTTGACAGCTTTCAGGAACAGAAAAATTGCCTACACAGTGACAGCACACATTTTGGATAATATTCTCTGAGAACAAGGTATGTCAGTGAAAATGCTGCTGGCAGAAGTTCAGAGGCCCAGGACCACAGGGTGGAGAAATCTGTGATAACGCTGACTTTCCTGTCATGATCACAAGGTGGATACCCTAGCTCAAATCTTCTCATTTATGTTCCTGGAAGAAATAAATAGAAAAAGAGATATGAAAGGGGGTGTATTCAGGAGTACATCCTAGAAACACTCAGCTAGTTTTCATCCTCATCACATTGGCTAGAAGTGAGCCACATGACTGCAAGTTTTACATTTTTCATCTCTTGATAGAAGACAGAAGATTTACTGTAATGCTGTGAATGAATGAAAGTCTGTCCATCGAGACATTAATTTGGTTGTGTTCCAGGTCTGTCCCCCTTTGCTTCTCCAGAAGTGCATTCTTCTCCAACACAAATAATGCAACTGTGTGAGCTGAGATGTAGGCAATGCTTTCATAGCAAGAAGACTACAAAATGTAGATGCTCTAATAAAATACAATTTTATTTCAATCTAATGTATTAGTATCAGTGGCAATTGCATGATCCAAAGTATATAAGTGGCCTTGGTTGATGAGGCTCCTTCTGATTTTTTTCTCCAGCATATGTCTCCAACTATTGGGATGAAAAGAACTCACTAGAAAGATAGCTGAATCCTGTGCCCCAGGGAGAAAGTGGAAGGCAAGCAGCTTCCTTCTAATGACATCCTAAGGAGGCTGCACACATCAAAATATATTTTGCATTCATATGACTACTGAAAATGTCATTGTTAGCTTGACAATCACATGCTCTGATGAGATATTTTGGCAATCTTGTATGTATCAGAAAGAAAAGGATACACACGCATTTTACAGGAAATGCACCTAGCTAACTGTTTAATTTCATCTTTCAATTCTGTGTTTCCAACAAAGTTCATCCAATTGTTATTTTTGTCTCCTTAATTCCAAATCATTCTTGTTTCCAGGTTTCTTCCCAAAGGCTGTATTTATTAACATTCAGTGATATTCTTAAACAAGTATCTATTCAACTCAAGAGACTGTCGAGAAAGCATAAAAATGTTTAAACTTAGAGATGAACAAACTGCATTAGAGATGTTGTGACAGAGGCTTAAGTAGAACAAAACCACATTGAGCAACAAAATAATAGCAATAAAATAACAGCAAGCTGTCTCACAAACAGCAAATAATGTGACTCAACCCCAAAACGGGATATACATAGATGATTTAGATATAGATTTAATTTTCTTTAAAAAAAAATAAAATACAGCATAGCAGAAGCCACAGTAGATGACCTGACTTCAGTGATTAGATTGAATGATACTGTGTGGCTTCACAGACCCAGAGTAATCTTGTTGATAGTTCCTGGTATCACTTCCATGTCTTCACTGACTTTCTTCAGACTTAAGAAGGCCCTAATACGCGTCAGACCCATGTACTTCCTTGATGGTACATGGATATCATAGAACAAGAGAATTTCTCTTCAACCTAAGGCAGTTTGAAGTCTTCTGCCCAGTTTGAGGCCAAAAACTTTCAAAAGAACACCATGGAATAAATTCCTTCCACCAAGGTCTGAGTTACTATCTATGGGAATAAACGAACAGCTAACTTAATCAGAAACCAAGTCTGAAAATCAATTAGTTCCCCTAAGCAAACAACAGCTGCACAATGATGGAGAAGTGAGAACCAGAGATTTCTGCCTTTATGACCACTGTGCTCAGTCTTGACTTCTTGGTTTCATGTATAATTAATTAGAAGACTCATGGGCCCAGTGTGGTTACTCAGTTGCTTGTTTTTATGAGTTCTATTTGGCCTTTCTTCTGAAATGCTTAACTACTTTTCAGTTTCCTATTCTTTGAAGATATTATTAACTCTTCTGTTATTAAATATGGTAAATGTTGTTTTACACTCTGTTGAATGTAGATAATTGAGTTGAAGATAATACATGTATTTGGTGGCTAACACAGTGGCATAGCAAGCTAACCCCCCACTAAGGCATTGGCATCCCATAAGAGGGTTGCTAATTCATACGTCAGCCACTGCACTTCTGATTCAGCTCTTTATTAATGGCCAAGGAAAGCAGCAGAGAATGGTTCAAGTCCTTGCACCCCAGCACCCATGTAGGAGAATCAGGGAAGCTCCTGGCTCCTGGCTTTGATTTGACCTGGCTCCAGCTATTGTGGTCATTTGAGGAGTGAACTGATAGGTGGAAGAGCTCTCTTTTTGTCTTTCCTTTTCTCTCTGTAAAATCTACCTTTTGAAAGAAAATAATCATTAAAAAAGAAGATTCTATATGTATATTTAACTGTGTTGCTGTTTAATATGCTTTAAGATGAACTAAGTACAATCTTTATAGAAATATATTGATATTTATATTATTTATTATTTATATTATTTTTGCATAAGTTATTTGGCTGTATAAATCTTTATTTTTAATTTTTTCTTTTTCTTTTTGTATAAATCTTCCTACATGGCTAGAATTATATTTGTAAAATCCCAAAGATACAAATTTTGGATTTATAGTCTATTTCTGAAGAAAAATGACAGCTATGTAATATATTATTATTATTTGATAAATTTATGATTGTTCAAGATTTAATTTTATATTTCTCCAGAAAGCATTATGGCTGAATTTTTGTGGTTCTAAAAAAAATGAAAATTTGGGGCCCAGCGCGGTAGCCTAGTGGCTGAAGTCCTTACCTTGCATGCGCCAGGATTCCCATAAGGGTGCCAATTCCAATCTCCGCTGCTCCACTTCCTTTCCAATTCCCTACCTGTGGCCTGGGAAAGCAGTCGAGGACAGCTCAAAGCCTTGGAACCTTGCACCTGTGTGGGAGACCCAGAAGACGCTCCGTGCTCCAGGCTTCAGATTGGTGAACCAGAGGACAAAAGATCTTTTCCTCCGTCTCTCCTTTCCTCTGTAAATACGCTTTTCCAATAAAAATAAACAAATCTTTTAAAATAATAATAAATTTTAAAATAATAACTTATTTTAGTTTAGTGATGGAAACTAGTGTATTTTTATTTAATTACTGAAAAACATTTACTCATTTAGTTCAAATCAAGACAGAAATATACTTATAAAATATGCATGTGATGAGGATTTTCACGTTTTCCTTATTCATAGCTTCCCATAACAGCTCATGAGATTTGTGTGTATGCTTTTGGAGCTTGTATAGTGACATATAAATACTCATATGTATATGAATATATATATATCATACATACTCATATATTTCCATATGCAGTCAAAACCTTACTATATATATGGTCTTCATATTTACAAACATACAAAAATTTTATAGCATGAATATACAACTAAACACATTGGGTGAAAGGAAAAACACTCTTATACACTTTTGTTATCACCCAGGTCTAAAAGGGACGTTGACAGCACATCAGCAGCTACACCTGCCAATTTATCTCTTTTCAGTCAAAACTCCGTTTTCTAAAACCAATCACTGTTGTGTCAATTATGGTGATTATTTTCTTGCAGTGCTTCAGAGCTTCCTACTAATGTGTCCACCACAGAACACAGGTTTAAGTACTTGAGGTTAGTAGAGACAGAGATAGCAGTGTTGAACTTATGTGTTTGACTTCTTTCTCTCTGTATTCTGTGACTCATGCTATTGTTTATAGCAATGCTGTTATATTTTCTTTTATGCATAGGATTTTATTATATAACTACCCTGTAATAAGTTGCTTATGGAATCATGCAGTTATTTGTGCTGCTCCTAGTTCTGGGACATTATAAATGCAGATACAGTTATCAAGTACTTAACTTCTACTGCAATTACTACTGGATTTATAGTTAGAAGTGTGAGTTTCTGATTGTGTCTACCGGTTCATTCTCAAATGACCACAATGGCTAGAGCTGAACTGTTTCAGAGCCAGGAACCAGAAGCTTCTTCCACGTCACCCATGTGGGTGCAGGGACCCAAGGGCTTGAGCCATTTTCTGCTGTTTTTATAATCCATAAGCAGGGAGCTGGATCTGGAAATGAAGCAGTTTGTACTTGTACCAGTGCCTAGATGGGATCCTGGCACAGGCGGAGGATTAGCGTGGGATGCTATCCACTCATTCCTTTAGTTTGAACCATCCCTGAATTCCTAATATATATCTCCCTTGGACAGAATGGATGATCTTTATTTTTTGTGATATTTGTTTTGCTAGCACTTTGCAGAAGATTTTTCATTTATATCTCTCAAGGAAATAAACTTGTGCTTCTCTTTTTTCTTGTCTCATTATTCATCTTTATAAATAAAATTAGTTTGGAAGGGGCCTGTCTTTCAATCATTTGCAATAATTTTTAGAATCGTTGCTAGTTCTATCTTTTAAATTGTACTTTTATTTATTATTTTCTTTTTTTATTCTCTTTTTTATTTTTGATGATGTTACATAGTTGGCCAGGGTGGGAAAAGTCAAGGACTATGGGAGAGTGGGTGAGACCATTGTCTACAAATTTTCTCTTTCTTCTTCCTGTATCTGGGGGAGGGAGGAGATAAAGGGAAAAGCCACACCCAGTCTCCCCTTTGCCCCAGTATTCAGGGATGAGGAACAATCACCCGATGTCATCCCAGGGTTCCATGTGGAGTTATCTCCAAGAGTCTTGCTCAGCTGGTTTCAATAGTTCAGAAGTCTTGTCGATCTCGTCAATCCAAGGATAAGGAAATCCTACCAAGGTCCATTTGTTAACACTGTCTACCCATTCATCTGGATATTTGCTGTCAATACTCAGAAGGGGTAGTTGACCAATTTGCCCTGCTCTCCTTCCTCCACTCTGATACCAGATGTCCTCTGCAGAGTACTGCCATCTCCTCCATGTGCATCTGGACATGCCATCCACTGCTCCATCTTAGTCACTGAGGAAGCCCAGTTCTTACACATGCATTTCACAGTCAGACCACAGAGCCTATGTTTCTACCCAGTTTTGGAGTTTTGAGTCCACTGGATCAGTTATTTTTCATGATACAGTTTCTTAGGCTCAGTTCTTTAGCTTCCACTAAGCCCCTCTGCCACTCCCCTCACTGTTTTCCCCTATACTGTAGCCATAGTATAGTCCTTCAACAACAGCCACAGTCCATCATTCTGATATTTAAGTGTATCATGACACTATAGGTATAGACACAGGTAGAAAGTCCAGCATTCTATTG